AGCTGCCGGCCACGCCCCGGATGTTGCGCTGGCTCCGAGAGTACTTGTTCGCCCACGGGACGGCCACGCGCCGGGAGGCGACCATCCTATGGGCGGCGCTTATGACGGGGTACTTTTTCATGCTCCGCGCGTCGGAGTATTTGGTCCAAGAGGACCGCTCCTGGAGTATGGGACGGGTGGTGCGTGGGCAGGACGTACAGGGGATGCGCGGAGGTACACCCAGCGCAAGGCTCAGCGACTGCGATGAGGTAGTACTGACGATCACGTCGTCCAAGACGGACCAGTTTAACGCAGGTTGCGTACGCAACCATTACCGTTCGGGGGTGGAGTTGTGTGTCGTGGACGCACTCGCCGACCTCCAGAGGGAGCTGCCGGACCGGTTTGGACGAGGAACCGAGGCGGGGCTCCCCCTGTTCCGCCGGCCCGATGGCCACCCGATTATGCGGGAGGAGGTGCAGGGGCTCCTCCAACTCGCGGCTGCCGCCTGCGGCGTGGACGCAGGCCAGATGGGATCCCACTCCCTGCGCATCGGGGGCGCGACGGCGTTGTACCACGCCTGTCGCGACCTGGAAGCGGTCAAGAGGTTCGGGAGGTGGTCCACGGACGCCTTCCACGGATACCTCTGGGAGGACCATCGGCGTCAGGCTCCGTTCGCCCGAGGCATGGCGGAGGGCCACGCCTTATTGGCCCCGGACGCCCGCGGTAACGACGGCGCCGTGACCGGCGCCCGCCCCGACCAGTTGGCCGGGAGCGATCCGCCCCAGTTTGGGAGCGATCTGAGGCCCTCGGAACGCCCGGCCTGGGCGCCCGGGCGCCCCCCCTGGGCGCGCCCTTCGGCGCGAGCAGGGTCAACTACGGAGGAGGAAGGAGAGGGGGACTTGGTGAGATACGAGCCAGGGCGAGGAGTTAATGGGCGTGTGGGAAAGCAGCAGGCGGGTCCCACGGGTATTCAGGTCAGGGCGGGGGCTTCGCGTTGTGGGGGTATCCCGGTGGACCTCTCGCCCTCGACCCCCCTTTCGCTACCGCTCCCGATCGCCCCAGGCACGCCCACCTCCTCTTGGTCCTCTCATCCGCAGCCATCTCCCACTCCAGAGCGAGGCGCGCGAGCAGCGCGCGCACCCCAGCCCCGCGCGCCAGCCGCGCCGTCGCCCCGCGCTCCGGCAGCGTGCATCATGGGATTCCTGGTGGGCCTGGTGGCCCCGGACCAGAGCAAGGCGCGTGGCCATGACTACAGCATCATGGCGGTGAACCCCCTCGGCGTCGTCGTCTCGGGGGCCGCGCTGTCGGACGAGCTCCGGAGTGCCGCCCACAACATCCTGTACACGGTGGTGAACGAGCTGGACAGCGAGGACCTCGTCGAGATGGTCAACCACGACCACGAAGCAGCCCCGTGCATCGCGGCGGCTTGCTTGGCCGCGGGGGCGAGCGAGGACCACGGCCAGCTGGTGATCGTCGACGGCAAGCGGGGTGCGTGGGGGGTGGGCGCGGGGCCGAATATCAAGGTCCAGCGCCAGGCGGCCAAGCTGGCGCTCGCCTTGGCCCAGTTCCAGGGGCAGCCCATGCCGGAGCTCCGCGAGCTCTGCAAGCACAACAAGGGGCTGCTCGACATGATGCGCACAGTGGACGCGGAGGCGGTCGTGGAGCTCACCGACGACGACGCCTCGAGCAGGGGCGAGGGGAAGTCGACCCCAGCCCCGGTCCTCGAGGCGGGAGAGGACGCGGTCACCGCGGCGCTGGCGCGTGCGGCCATCCAGGCTGCCGCGCGGCGCCAGAGCAAAGGCGCTCCAAAGGCGCGCCCGCGGCCCGCGCGGTCGCCGGGCCAGGAGCGCCTCGCCGAAGAGGTCCGCAAGCGCGAGAGGCGCCCTGCGCCCTTGCGCTCGCCTTCGCGCGCGAGGCGCCGCGATCGCGAGCGCGATGCGCCTCGCGATCGCGGGCGCAGGGGACAGGAGGAGGAGGCCGTCTTGAAACCCAAGACGGGCGGCGCCCCCCCGAAGGCCGACATCGTGAAGCGTGAGGCCGTCCTGAAGCCCAAGAGCGGGGGGGCGCCGCCGCGGTCCTTCGAGGTGAAGACCGAGGTGGAGGAGGCGCCAGGCGCGGGGGACGGGCCGCCCCAGCGCCAGCCGCGCTCGAGGAGCCGCCGTAGGCGCAAGGAGGAGCAGCGCCAGGGCGCCCAGCAGCAGCCCAGTGACCAGCACGACGAGGGCGAGTCCATCATCCGCATCGAGCGGGTACCGCACCACGTCGATGCCGAGGTGGTCAGGCAGGTGGTCGTGCCCTTCGGGGTCGTCAAACACATCGCCTTCCTGTACGACCACCGCCACAAGCGGGAGCCGTGCGTGCTGGTGGAGTTCCAGCGCCGCGCTGACGCAAAGCGCGCGCGGGAGTGCATGAGGTCGAACTATCGGTTCTACAAGACGGACCCGTGCACGGTGGTCACGGAGTGGGCGAGCCGGCCTCGCGGCCCTGACCCAGGCAGCGACGGGGAGGATGGCCCGACCATCCAGCCGCCTGCCTGCCCGACATGCGCACTCAAGATGCGCTGGAGCTCCTTTGACCCGGGAGACGGTTGGGGTTGCGAGATGTGCCCCGCGGGCGGAGCTAACAGCGGAGCCCTGCGGTGGCACTGTAAGGGGTGCGACGTGAGCTACTGCGAGGCTTGCCGCGTCGCCTTCGGCAAACCCAAGACGGTGGTGGAGAAGGCCCGGCGGAGCGGCCACACCGTGCGGGAGGCGCCGGGCCCCAGTGTCGGCCATGGCGAGCGCCCCAGCACGGGTGCCACGGGTGCGGGGGCTGAGGGGGACCGCCCGCCGGGCGACCTCAGCTGGCCCAAGCGTGAGAGGTCGCCCAGCCGCCACCGGCCCAAGCGCGAGAGGTCGCCCAGCCACAGTCTGGCGCGGGACCCAGCGTGGGCGCGGCGCGGCGACACCCCGCCCGGCCGCACGCGGCGTAAGACCGGGAAGCACGCTGGGCAGCTTCGCGCTCCTCGCGGCGGCTGGTACGAGCAGGAGAAAAAGCGGCGGCGTGCTGCCGCCGCGGAGGCTGCCGCGGGCGGGGGTGGGATCCCAGCCTGGCGTGGCAAGGGCGCGGGCGACAAGGGCGGCAAGGGCGGCAAGGTCAAGGGCAAGTACTCCGGCAAGGCCGCCAAGGGCTCCAAGAGCGGCGGCAAGGGCGACAAGAGCGGCAAGGGCGGCCACTCCAAGGGCGACCAGGGCAGCCGCGGCCGGAGTGAGCGCGACTGGCCCAGCGCGGACGGTCGCGCGTCGAGGGGCGGCGATGGCAGCAGCCCCCGGGACCCCAGTGAGCGCGGCGGAGACCGCAGCGGAGGCGAGAGCCGCGACCGCCGGGGGAACACGCCCTCCATCTAGGCGTGGAGCTCCCCCCCCGTGCCCCGACGCCAGCGCCCGCGGCATCGCGGGCGCGGGCTGACGGCGGCGGCCTGTGAGTGAGTCGGCCCTCCTCTCAGCCTACCGTGCGCAGGTGGCGCCTGCGATCCTTGAGCCTACGGTGCGCAGGTGGCGCCTGCGAGCTTGTTTCTTTTAGCCTACGGTACGCAGGTGGCGCCTGCGATCTCTTTCTTTTAGCCTACGGTACGCAGGTGGCGCCTGCGATCCTCCCTCTTGGAGGAGTTTAACGTTGCGCGCACGTCGCGTGCTTCCTGGACCCGGCCGTGCTGCGCGTCTTGCGCGCCGTGCGGTCGGGGCCACACTTGCGCTCTGCGCCCGGCGCCTCGTGCGCCGCCACCCTTTTCGGTTCTTTTGCGCGCATCGCGCACGCGCCGCGCCCGCGCTCTGGGTGCGCGGGCGCGGAAGGCCTCAAGGTTGCAGGCAAGTGGCCGCGCGCGCGAGGCTCTTGCAGCCTCTGATCCCGCCCTCGCACTCGGGCGGGGCGCCCCCCCGCGCGCGCGGCTGCGTCTTTCTTTTCTCATGGCCGAGCGGCCGCAGGCGTGCCAGAGCGCGAGCGCGCGGGCCGTCAGGGCCCACGCGCTCGCGTTGAGCGTGGGGCCACCAGGGCCCACGCTCGGCGGAGATGCGCGTCGCCACGCTGCCATGAAAATACCATCGCCCTGTCCTGGTCCCTCTCTCGTCCCCTCCTCTCCTCCTCCTCCTCCGTTGAGTGCACGCGTATCTCACTTAACTTGTATAGTCTGATTGGTTGTAGACTGCAGGTTAAGTGGGAGGGGGTGTGGGCTCAGGTAGCCATTTTGGGTCCGTAGCGTTCGGCTCTGGCCGACGCGCGGGTGCCCACCCACCCCGCTTTGCTCCCAGACGCCTGCGTCGGCCGAGCGGCCGCAGGCGTGCCAGAGCGCGAGCGCGCGGGCCGTCAGGGCCCACGCGCTCGCGTTGAGCGTGGGGCCACCAGGGCCCACGCTCGGCGGAGATGCGCGTCGCCACGCTGCCATGAAAATACCATCGCCCTGTCCTGGTCCCTCTCTCGTCCCCTCCTCTCCTCCTCCTCCTCCGTTGAGTGCACGCGTATCTCACTTAACTGTGTGTTGGAACGGTTCAGGGTTGCTAGGGGGCAGCAGCTGCGTTGATTCGCGGTGTTGAAGTCTCAGGAGTGGTGTCATGGCACGATTCAGGATCGTCAAGACGCAACAGTCAAGTAAACTCGTTGCGTTGGGGTCCCGAGAACGGTGTTCTTGCATGCTCCAGGATCTTCAAACGGTTGTTTCCCAACGGGGCACTTCCATCAGTGGGAACGAATCCTCGCTGGGGCCTGTGAAGAGGGAGCTTGGCGGGAGGATGTATTCCAACATCGTTGGTCAACACTGGGGACTGGGCCTTCTCCTCTTCCTCCTCCCCTCCTCCTCTTGCTCCTTCTGCTCCTGCTCCTGCTTCTGCTCCTGTTTCTGCTTCTACTCCTGTTCCTGCTTCTGCTCCTGCTCCTCCTCCTGCTCCTGCTCCTGCTCCTGCTCCTCCACCTCCAGCTCCAGCTCCCCCTCCCCTCCCCCGTGCCTCCCCTCCCCCGTTCCTGCCCTGCTCGCGGCGCGCCTGGCGGAGGTCAAGGCGCTGCACCTCCGCGGTATGAAGCTGAGCCCCCACGGGGAGCGGGCGAAGCAGAGGCTGGGGTCCGCGTCGTGGACCCCCCCGTGGGCGGAGAGGAGGGGGTGAGGGAAAGAGGGGGATCGAGTGAGGAGGGAAGAGGAGGGAGGAGGGAGGAGGGAGGAGGGAGGGAGGGAGGGAGGGAGGGAGGGAGGGAGGAGGAGGAGGAGGAGGAGGAGGAGGAGGAGGATCAGAATAACCCCAAGATCCATCAACGACGTTTTAATCAACCCTCCCGCCAAGCTCCTTCACAGGCCCATACAAGTGAGGGTAGTGCCCCGTCGGGAGACAACCGTTTGAGGATCTTGAAGCGTGCTAAAACACCATTCTTGTGACCCCAACGCGACGAATTTACCTGACTGTTGCGTCTTGACCATCCTGAACCGTGCCAGAACATCATTCCGGGGACTTCAACCCAGCGAATCAACGCGGCTGTTGCGCCCTGGCAATCCTGAGTCGCTCCAAAGCACAAGTCCTGGTACGTTGACCATGGAAACCCGCGTCACTCTTGCCAATATTTAAGACGAATGTGCGCGGCGCTAAAGCGAGAGCCACATTTGAGGAGGAACCGCCCTCAATCTGTGAACGCTTGCGAAGTTGAAGACGGATGTGCGCTGCGCGAAGGCGAGAACCACATTTTGGAAACGGCCCGCCCTTAATCCGCGAAGCTCTTCCAACATTTTGGAACGAATATGCGCGGCGCCACGGCGAGAGCCACATTCCCCAATTAGGCTTGCCTGAAGGGGTTCTTACTTGGTTAAAGGTTGGTGCCTCCTATCGTACCTGTGCCCGTTGCTCGTATGTTCGTCGGGTTCCTTCCAGTGCCCCGCCCTCGGTGCCTCCTATTTTTACGTTGCCCGTTTCCCAGAGGTCCCCCGGGTTCCCCGGGTTCCTCGGGTTCCCCGCCCCTGGTGCCTTTTAGTGTTACGTTGCCCGTTCCTGAGAAAGTTCCTCGGGTTTCCCGCCCTGGTTGTTGGTCTTGTTTCCCAGTGTTGCAGGCAACTCCAGGCAACGTCAAGCAATGCCAAGCAACGCCAAGCAATGCCAAGCAACGCCAATCATCGCCAAGCAATGCCGAGCAACACTAAACAATGCAAAGCAAAGCTAAGTAATGCCACGAATTGCCAAGGAGCGCCATACAATGCCAAGCGATGCAACGCAATGCCAAGCAACGCCAAGCAATGCAAAGTAATGCCAAGCAAGGGCAGACAATGCCAAACAGTGTCACGCAATACCAAGCAATTGCAAGCAATACAAAGCAATGGCAGGCAATGCGCTACAATGCAAAGCAAACCAATGCAATGCCAAGCAATTCCACGCAACGCCGCTTAGGAAGCATTCACCTAATCGGGGTCACGCTGGGGTCAATTTCAGAACGAGCAGCCCTCAATCCGTGACATTCTTGCACTTGCGCGTGTTTAAGACGAATGTGCGCGGCGCTGAGGGAGGAAGAGGAGGAGGAAGAGGAAGAGGAAGAGGAAGAGGAGGAGGAGGAGGAGGAGGAGGAGGAGGAGGAAGGAAGGAGGAGGTAGAGGGAGGGAGGGAGGGGGGAGGGATGGAGGGAGGGAGGGAGGGAGGGAGGGAGGGAAGGGAGGAGGAGAAGGTGGAGGAGGAGGAGGAGTCACTCTCCTCCTCATAGATCCGCCCCCCGCTTCCCCCTCAATCTCTTTGTTGACCATGATGTCAGTCTGCCGCCCAAGCCACTACCCGTCTCGTGCGTCTCCCTTGGTCTACATTTTCGCCTTGGTTCTCCTGCCTTATCCAAGGTCCGCCCGCCCCCATCGGCCCAGTTCCCGCGCGCCCCCAGGCTGCAGAGGGTGCTTTCCTCAGGGGGCGACCCCCCGCCGCTCCGTGGGCCGATCGCGCCCGCCAGATCGGGATCGAGATCGGGCCTCGGATCGTGCTCGGAGGGAGGCTCCGCCTCCTCCTGTCCTCCTTCCTCTCCCTCCTTCCTCATCCTCTCTCCTTCTCCTCCTCCTCCTCTCCTCCTGCCCTCCTCTACGCTGGGCTTCCTACCTCCCCCCTCCTCCTCCTCCTCCTCCCTCCTCCTCTCCTCCCTCCTCCTCTCCTCCCTCCTCCCTCCTCCCTCCTCCCTCCTCCCTCCTCCCTCCTCCCTCCTCCTTCTTCTCCTCCTCTTAAACGTCCGAGCCCCTACCAAGGCAGCAGGTCCGACCTATCACGACAGCCACGGCAGCACTGCCAACTAGGACAGCAGAAGGTGTGCAGTGGGGAGGAGATACATGTGAGGACGATGTGTAATGTTATACGTTATACATCGACTCAGGGGGTCAATCAGGCTCGTCCTACTACGACGGCAATCACCAACCAACTACAAGACAACAGCCAACGGACCAACAACCAGGACACAGAGGGGGTCAGGGATTGCACGGTGTGATTAAGCTGCATGGGGCTTTAAGGGAGGGGTTTGGTTATTTTAGCGACCACAACACGCAGGAGACGGAGTGAACCCACTTATCTTGTTTGTTTTACTGTTCCAGAGGCATCCAGAGCTCTCAGAATTCGGCGTGCCCACTTTTCTCTCGTCTTTCGTTGTCGTCGTCGCCCTCCCTTCTCTCCTCGGAATGGGCAGTGGGGCTTCGGTTGATGAAGGAGGTAGTCCGTGTCGTCGTCTCCCGCTGAGCCGTGGACGCGCCGCTGCCTGTCCAGAGGCTCCGCACCGCCTGGTGCCAGGCAGGGAACGCCCCTGCTAATGAGGCCTTAGATCGCCTTGTCCGCCTAAGCCATCTAGGCTCTCCTGAGCAGGTCCTCGAACGAGGCCGGCGAACGCAATGCCAGGGAGGAACCTAGATGCTCTACAGGCTAGTTTTCTTGCTTGCTCGGAGTCGTTCCCAACCGTGTTTGTCCTTCGGCTTCCTCCTCCTCCTCCTCCTCCTCCTCCTCCTCCTCCTCCCTCCTCCCCCTGCCTCCTCCCTCCCTCTTCCCTCCTCCCTCCTCCCTCCTCCTTCTCCTCCCTCCTCCTTCTCCTCCCTCCTCCCTCCTCTCTCGTCCCTCCTCCTTCCTTCTCCTCCTGCTTGCGAACTTAGAGCTAGGCGCTAGTGTCGTTCAGATGCCGCCCTACCCATCCAGGGTGGTCGCCCTTGTTGGGGGTGTTGATCGACCTGAGAGGTGCCGCAGCAGGGGCCCCTGTGGGCACCTCCGCGGGGCACTCAGCGCACTCTTCCGCGGCGCCCCTATTGGGCGCGCCGCAGATTGAGGGCGGGCGTGGGGCGGCCGCTCCACCCCGAAGGGGGCGGCTGAACAGGCCTCTCCCCTTCCATGCCATATGGTCTCCCACGAAACACTTCCCTGTCCCACCTCATGTGCCCTCAATCCGCCGCGCTGGGCCCCCATGGCAGCGCCTCTGGCGCCGCCGCGGATCGTAGGTTTGC